AAGTCATTCACCCAGCTCCACCCCAACATGCTCTATTTGTCGGGGCGGAGCTAGCATTCGGGATACGGGTTCGGCTGAACACAGTAATTTTGGTCCAAATTCTATATTTGTCTTAATTTTTTAATTAAATATGATAAATTAATTAATTATGAACTCAATAACTTAAACGAACTACAATCCTGAACCCAAAAACTTCAAATCTCCGCTTTCTAGATTCAACAGATCGTGCTGAATGGTGATTATGAAAATCTTTGAATAAGTACGACTAATCAAATCAAAACATCTAAAAAAGTAAATCTATTTCTAGCGATTTAGCAAACATTTTCATAAATCTTTTACTGAAAGTTTGATTCCTAAATGCACTACACTGCTCAAATAGGATATTAGGATCTTGTTGATGATTGGCCGAACTTTCAGTTGATCATGGATGTATACAGTTTTGAATCAACTCGGTATGGTTCATCTGAATAGAGTTGTTGATCTTTTTGCATGAATCACTAAATTTTAATAAATTAATATCTAAATCTACAACTAATGCTTTCTTACATTTGATTGTTTAATTTTGGTGAAAACACCAAATGCGAGTACATTTATTTTCAAATGATTTGTTTCTTTCTTCTTGTTACAAATAGAGAAGCTGCAAAGGACATGAGTGTAGGTGTTTTCTTATAATTTAAGTAATAGTTAATGGCTTAGCTGGTCATATCGTGCAGATGGGATAACATTGTTGCTTCGTATTTCAGAAAACATATTGCTAGAGAAAATTATTCTGATATAGTTTAATGTTGTTCTATAGATACCCTAGGGCTAGGAGGGGTTTATCTTTAAAAAAAAAACATAAGTTTTTTTCACGTAATTATTAAAATAAGAGAGTGCAAGAAGAACAGTTGAGATATTTGTCAAACAGCGTGAGACCAATAAAACTTACTAATAAAAAAGATAAAAAGGAAAAAGATCTATTATTGCGAATATGAAGCAGCGAGACATGACCTTTTTTTTGTAAGAAAAGATTTGCACTCAAACATGAGGCATAACAATCGATAATAAGGGAAGAAATTCAAAAATAGCCAGATTTACAAGTGGTCGTTCAAAAATAGCCCAATTTTAAAAGTAATTGAAATTTAGCCACTTTTCATGTAAAGATAAATCTGAACGAAAACACTGTTCAAAACCCGGAAAAATACTCCAACATAATATACTGGAGTTCCAGTATAATATACCGGTCCAGCATAATATACTGGAGTTTGGAGCACCGGTGCTCCAGTCTCCAGTATATTATACTGGAGCCAGCAAAGTATACCGGTCCAGCATAATATGCTGAAAGTTCATACACAGGTGCACCGAACTCCAGTATATTATGCTGGACCGGTCTCTGTTGCAGCAAAATAGTGGTTATTTTTCATTGACTTGGTAAACGCTGGCTATTTTTGAATGACCAGTCCGAAAACTGGCTACACCATGCTATTTTTACGATAATAAGTAAGAAAAAATTATAAAATTGTAGAGTTTAAATTTAATATTGATAAAAGCTGTTAGATAATTTTTTTTCATTTGTCTAAGTAACTATTCTAATGAAAGATAATAAATACTTAATTGCTTTAGTTAGTAATTGTAATGTTGAAAGATGCATACAAACACTGTTGTATGAAATTTATTCTCATTGTTAGGATAAAAACAATAATATAATAAAAATAAATTAAAAGGGAGATGACTGACCTCAAAAGGGAAGTGTGGCGTGCTTTGCATGCATTTCCGCCACGTAAGGGTTCTGTTATGCCCCATTATATATTAATCCCCCAACTCCAATGTCGTTTTCCGTCACGTTATTCCATCCTTGTAGCCGACCATTTTCCTTTTTTCTATATTTCAGCACGGGCCCACTTTATTCCTTTATTTCCCAACCTTTACTCCTCAGAAAGCATTCTCCACCGTTGATTCAAAACCCATCGGTTCAGATCAAGTTGCTTCTCCTAACGAAATATTCTTTGCTTCCTTAATATAGCTTTCCCTAAACAAGAATCTCGTGAAAGCGAAAGAATGATCTACACTGAGATATTTCCGCTTTTTGTCCCATTGACAAATTTTTAGTTTAGTCCTTATGATATTTAATTAAGCATGTTTATCTTTTTACTTATTTAAAATGTATATTTTTATTTCTCTTCTTATGATCTTACAAATTTAAGAAACTATTAATCATTTTATTACCTATATTGTACTGTTACTTCATATTTGAAGACAATACAGTTTATAACTAGTTTAAATATTTAATTTTTTCTATACAAAGGACAAAAAATATACATACATTTAAAATTAAATGTGCTTACAAAAATTTCACAAGAATTAAAATCAGAGTTTTTATCAATAATTGAGGGACCAAAAATGCTATATTAGATATTTCAGAAGAACCAACGCTTGGGAATTTTTTGAGAAATAGTAGTAGCTGATCTCAACCTTGGTGGGTCCGAAAGTCTTTTTTTTTTTTTTTTTCCCTTTACACTCTAGTTGGATCATTGTTACCCATCGCTTTATAATGTATCGTATCGTTTTGTGAATACAATGTTTGAATAGATTGTATTGTATGATGTTGTTAAATAACATGTTGCTGTTTGGTTTGACTGTATCGTACTGTACTGTAACTGATAAGTTACTAAAATACCCTCAGTTGTTTTAAATATTTAATTTATCAAGAATTACGCATAAAAATTATTTAAGAAAACCCCTTTCTCCTAATTTATCACCAATTATGTCTTATATATAAATTAANGTTCAAAATCCTTCCTAACCGTGACTTTTAAACTGCCGTTCCCAACTTCTCTTTAATTTTTTGATTTTTTAATTTTTTTAAATGATTAAATTATTTTATTTCTTAAAATTTAACGGCTTACTCAAATATAGGAATAGCCTTCAAAACCCTTCAACTGACTTTCCCACGATTTTGATTGCTTCAACTGTGTAATCCACGATTTTGTATATTGGGTAGCAACTGTTCAAAAGTGAAAATATATATTTCTTCCACAACTACACGATCTTCAATCCTAATGTTCCTTCTTCTATAAAGATTTCAAGAAAACTTACGTCCTATGCAAAAGATGGCTACTCACATTGATTTCATCAAGGATATAACAATTTCGAAGATGCAATGGAAGTTAAAAGTTCGTGTTGTCCGTTTGTGGGAAGTACCGAATCATTTTAATCCAGGCACTATATTCTCGATTGAATTGGTTCTACAAGATGAAAAGGTATTTTAACTATGTTGTTACCTTGCTAATTCGGTTTGGTTTTCGGAATTGTTATTTCATTATACATAGATTTGTTTTGCTCCTCGAAATTGTTATATGATTATATCATACTATATGAGAGATGCACTTATAGATGCTATAGACAAAATTATACTATATGATTGGGAAGCATTATCAATTTTAGTAGATTCACTTGGACAACTTTTAGGTAGTATTTTAACTGACATTTATCACGAGGTGTGGCCAAGTGAATCTTTTTGGGTTTATGTCCTTAAATTTGAAGCAGAGTGGGAGAACCGTCTCTATGACTACATGTAATTTATTTAATTAATGAAAGTTTTTTATTTCTTTGCAACATTACCTGTCATTTAATTTTTTTTTTTTTCTTAAGAGCATTAGATAAGATAAATAACATAATGGAATAACGCAAACTTATTCCTTCAATAATGCAACTTTAATGACATATCCAATGTCTTAGAAGAGGAATAACATGAATACACACATTACTTTACGCTCTTTGCTTGGTTATATGTAATTCTGATGTATATAATACTTTACAATTGTTTTGCCTCTTTTCTAATCAAAAATTAATGAGGAATCTATATTAATGAGGATTTAAAGATTAATGAGGAATCGATCAAATGGTTTAAATTTTACGATTGATCAAGTTATAAATATATGAGGTGGTTAAGCAACTAAGTTAATAATTTTATTATATTTTTTTCTTCGTATTTTTCGCGCATCGCGCGGGTACTATACTAGTTCTTTGAAACACCGTTTCTTTCTTTTACACTCTGTTTGGATCATTGTTACCATCGTTTTAATGTATCGTATTGTATCGTATCATTTTGTGAATACAATATTTGGATAGATTGTATTATATGATGTTGTTAAATAACATGTTGCTGTTTGGTTTGACTGTATCGTACTGTACTGTGACGGATAAGTTTACAAAAATACCCTCAATTGTTTTAAATATTTAATTTATCAAGAATTACGCATAAAATTATTTAACAAAACCCCTTTCTATATTTATCACCAATTATGTCTTATATATAAATTAAGCAATTAAATTCATACAAATTCTATTGAAATTAGTGGACAAGTTAACAATATTAAAAATAATTAAAGTACACTATATTCATAATTAGATCATAATAATAATAAAAATATTAAGTAGACTCCATGCAAAATTTAGATCATAAAAATTTAACAACGATGATAAAGAAACGAATGAAGGAGTTGGCAGAATAAAGATAAATAATAATACTTTGCACACTTGAAAACAACCAATATCACAAAGTTAATTGGAGATAAAGTAATTAGAATTGGAATTACAAGTCAAAGTAGAAGAAAGAATGAAACAAAAGTAAGGGAAAACATATACCAAAAGAGTTGGAAATTTCACGTATATAGGTTATTCAGGTATATAGGTTATATTTGGGATGCTGTCTTTGGGAATTTATATAGGTTATTAGACTTCACGTAGAATTCTACTATAGAATTATATGACTTTGCTATTTTTTAAAATAAAAAAGGTAAAGGGTAAAATAGAATTATAAAGTAATAAGTTAGGGAATAATTAGAAAGAAAAATAGGAAATAATCCCACCACACCAAATCGGTTGTTTAAAAAAAATAGAAGTTTTCATTGTTCCGGAATAATAGATCTAACAATATAATACAACCAATTTTAACTAAACAATCAAAACAAGCATTGTTATAAAAAAACAATACAATAGGATACAATGTGTAACAACCATCCAAACAAGCTGGTATTCTTTCTCCTATTTATACATGCAGCATCTCTATAGTTTTTCTTCTCATTCACCTTTTTTTCCTCTCATTGCTTCATCAAACTGGTTAGTAATGCTGTTACCCTTTTTAATTCTTGCGTTTCGTACATTCGTATTATCTGTTATTCGATTTTCTTTTATAGAATATCAGAGGTTTTGGGGTTAGTTTCATTACACATTTGTCTATCTTTTCGGAGTTTCCTAGATTTCTTGGCTGTGTTTTGGTTAGCAATAGAAGACTTATTTCATGTACTCCTTTTTTTGTTTTCCTTTTCTGTGTTGTTGGTTTTTTAGCTAGATGTTTATTTAGGTGATAAGATTGTTAAAAGGACAGAAATTGTACAAAGTTTCAATCTTTAAGCTTCCATTCTTTGATTCAAATACTACTTGCCACTGAATTGTGCCCGAATAGTGGGTAATGGATGTAGATGATTCAGTTTTTTCGAATTGAGGCCTAATTGCTTAATTGATTGATGCTGTTGCTTGAATTTGTTAAAATAGTTTTTGCAACTTGACATAGGATTTGTGCTGGTGTTAGTACTTAGCATTTTCCTCTAATTTTCTGCCTGACTAAACCTTGAATTCACAAGTGATTTGTCTTTTGAATATATCATGTTTTAGAGGTTTTGATGGTTTATTAAGAGGAATAACTTTCTTCTTCTTGGTTAAATATGTTCTTTTGGCTAAAATAAGTGATGAACTCAATACAGATCAATATGGGAGCAAAAGCATTTCTTGTTGCCCTGTTTCTCTCAGCACTGTTCTTTCCTTTGGCCTCCTCATCCAATGATGGCTTGATGAGAATTGGCTTGAAAAAAATGAAATTTGATCAAAATAACCGGCTTGCTGCACGCATTGAGTCAAAGGAAGGGGATTTTTTGAGGGGGTCTATTAGGAAGTATAACTTCCGTGGTAAACTTGGGGACTCTGAGGATACAGACATTGTAGCACTGAAGAACTATATGGATGCTCAATACTTTGGGGAGATTGGTGTAGGCACTCCACCTCAGAAGTTCACTGTAATCTTTGACACAGGTAGCTCGAATTTGTGGGTGCCGTCGTCGAAGTGCTATTTCTCTGTAAGCTTCTATACATGCAAATGATACAAATGATAACATTGAACATCCATCTAGAGTGATGTAAAAGTTGATGACTGCCTATCTTGGTGTAGGTTCCCTGTTTCTTTCATTCCAAGTACAAATCAAGCGACTCAAGTACTTATAAGAAGAATGGTATGTTATGTTTCTATTTTTGTATATTGCTTCTCTCTACCATTTGCTTGTTTATTGCTGCATGAAACATATATATGCTTCCTTCTAATGCCGGTTATTGTTTAGAATATGTGCCATCTTGTTTATTTTGGAACACTTTATGTATTGTCCTTATGTGTTTCTCACGGTGTGTCAAGGGATTACATTGGAAAAGTTAAATGATGAGTACATGTAGTTGACTGTTAAGACATAAAAGGAGGCTGTTTATGTTATGTTTCTTAGTATATTAGTGTAACTAGTGAGGTTCCGGAAAAGAAACACCAATATCCTTATCTCTCGCTGCGATTGGTGCTTTTTGGTTGCGAGTTGTATAGTTTTAACCTCTGCAATGCCTTTTAGGTGGTATTTCTTCTTCCCTATTAACTAAGTTTTGTATCCATGTCTTAGCATGTCTGTGACATAAGAAAGTTTCCGCAGAAAACTAGTTATTCTTGATTTTTTGTTCTATTACAATTATATATGTTGCTCAAAGAAAATGGATTGAACAGTCTGTAGCAATTGAATTGGTTTTCCAGATGTGTTCACTCCAGTGTTATTGAAAGCCATTACTTGGTCATTTAAAGTTATGAAGCGATACAGCAAGGGCTATCGCTTCATCGCTGAAGCCATGCGCTTTAGAGAAGTTTGCGCTTCAAATAATGGTGCACAAAGTGATTCCAACGAGAATTTATTGTTTCATTGAACCTCAACTTTTAGAAGTTGGATTAATGTTGGCATTTGCACAAAATGATTCCAACTAGAACTGGTTGCTTCTTTGAACCTCAATTTTGAGGAGTTGCATTAATACGGGGATTATTGTATATTGGATGCTGAAATTAGTTATTTTACTGCAATTTGATTTTTATTTGTAGAGTAAATTAATAAATGTTTGATATTTTCTTGTTTCCTATTAATTGTGTGCCTCACTTCTCGCTATTCACTGCAAGTCCGTGGACCTTGTTTTATTTTGTTGCACGTTTTGCTTTTAAGAACACTAGGTCACTCATACCTTAATGAACAGCATTTAGAACTTATTGAATGTTTCCACAAGACAGAGATCGTATTTGGCATACTAATTTTAATGTGATTTAGTTCATGATAAATTTTTGATTTGCCATATAGGGAAGTCTGCTGCAATTCAGTATGGTAGTGGAGCTATTTCTGGATTCTTCAGTCAAGATAACGTCAAAGTTGGTGACCTTGTTGTAACAGATCAGGTGAGTGAAGCTCCTCACTTGTTTTAAGTGTCTTGAAAGTAGAAATCTTACATCTCAAGGTGTTCATGTACTAGGAATTTATTGAGGCAACCAGAGAACCCAGCGTGACATTTTTGGTAGCCAAGTTTGACGGTATATTGGGTCTTGGATTCCAGGAGATTTCAGTTGGAAATGCTGTTCCAGTTTGGTACGTGGACAGTATTTACTTTGCTCTCTTTTAGGTTTAACACATTGAAGGATTAGATTTCCATAAATGCAGGATATGCTGGATATCTCTTTCTGTTTAAATTTGATTTGACATTCATCTGGGCAGCATCTCCTGTCTTTTCCAGGTACAACATGGTCAAACAGGGTCTTATTAAGGATCCTGTCTTCTCATTTTGGCTCAACCGAAATACGGAGGAAGAACAAGGAGGAGAAATCGTATTTGGTGGGGTTGATCCTAATCACTATAAGGGAGAAATAACTTATGTCCCAGTCACACAGAAAGGTTATTGGCAGGTTTGTCATTCCGTCAATTCGATACTATGTATGTTCATGTTTTGTACAAATGCTTTCTTGATCTTAGTAATATGATTGGCAGTACTATGTATGTTCATGTTTTGTACAAATGCTTTCTTAATCTTAGTAATATGATTGGCAGTTTGATATGGGTGATGTTCTTATCGATGGTAAAGCTACTGGTATGTTTCGCTCTGTACCTTTTGAATTGGATTGCCGGATTTCGGGAATATAGATGAAGGCTATGTGCCTGGATATAGAATTTTCCCTTGCTTTGAGTTTTTAACATGAACATGTCGGGTGTAGGTTACTGTGAAAGTGGGTGCTCTGCAATAGCGGATTCAGGGACTTCTCTCTTGGCTGGTCCAACGGTATTATCTATAGCCTTGATTTTGGACATATCACTTTTTTGTTGTGTTTTTGTTATTTGTTTCCACCATCAAAGCCAACCGAAATTCGATTACTGATTTCCTTTTTCCTTTGAAACTTCAACAGCTTGCTCAGCAAGAAAAGTAACATTTTCCTAAGATTCATGAGTTAAATAGCACGAATCCATCATCTGATCTGTGTTGTGTTTTAATTTTTCATCACAGAGAGGATGGTAGTGAAATTGGTTTTACATTTCTGAGGTTACCTTTGGATATACCATCTTAGCTTATCACTGGGCCGAAGTCTGTAAATCTGCTTTCTCTTCCGTGTCTTTCAGTTTAATGTGTAAAGCTGCCTCAGTAGGTACTTGTTGTTTTGTGTTACTTGCTTTTATTACGTTTCAATGAGGATGATGCTTTTACTTCTGCTTTAGTCCTGGTGTTCTGTCGACTTATTTATTTACCCCTCTTCTATTTGAAAGAAAATTATCCAACCCGAAAACTGTAGCCAGGTTTTATCCTGTGGACTTGGAAATGTTGACAATATAAATGAAGTAAAAATCTGCTGCCTTTTGTCTCTACAATCAGGGGCGGACGCACATTTACCCAAACGGTGTCATCCGACACCGCTTGGTCAAAAAAATTTACTATGTAGACATATATATGTGGGGGGAAAACAGAACGTAATATAAATTATAAATGACCATTTATGCGTGTAGCTGTCTCTGGTGTAATGGTCAAGCCCTGTTTTTTCCCTACTTGACTTGATGTTGTGGGATCGACCTAAACGGAAGGCATTTTTTGATTTCAAAATTTTTAGCATGGTCCTTTTAAAAACTAGAGTTTATATAGAGTTGAACCTTCAATATCATCTTAAAAAACAACTAAATCTGTGGGACATGACGGCTTTGGGGAGTCCATTGCATCAAGAGTAGACTTCCACGCTATAAGTGATAAAAATTTTATTTGAATGCATAAAAGTAGTTTTTTTTTTTGGTGAGAACATAAAACAAGTTGTTTAAGCATACATAATGTAATTTAGAATAATAATTTTAAAAAAATTATTCGACACCGCTTACTAAAAGTTCAGCTGTACGCCCTTGTCTACAATTGTACGATAAAAACACATCCAAGGTTGAGCAATCTTAAACCCACCCCTTTCCGTACAGACCATAATCACTATGATTAATCAAGCCATTGGAGCTTCTGGAGTTGCTAGCCAACAATGCAAATCTGTAGTGGAGCAGTACGGGCAGACGATCATGGATTTGCTGTTAGCAGAGGTGAGAATTCAACTGTGTAACTGCATTTTCATTTGTTTGATATGACTTTTCCTGTGCAGTTACAGCAAAATGACACTTGGCAATCTAGTTGCCTTTCCCGGTTATCTAATTGGTCCGCATTTAAACAGGCACATCCAAAGAAGATTTGTTCACAGGTTGGAGTATGCACTTTTGATGGAAACCGCGGAGTTAGGTTAGTCTTCAGGCTCTCTCTGCCCCTTCACGTGAACATATTGTGCATTTTGTTAATCCATAATGTTGATATAAATACTGAATAATTCTGAGGCCTTTTTTCTGCAGTATGGGAATTGAGAGTGTTGTAAACGAGAAAGCTGGCAGATCCACAGGACTGCAGGATGGTATGTGCTCTGCTTGTGAAATGGCAGTCATATGGATGGAGAATCAACTGAGACAAAACCAGACTCAAGATCGCATATTAAACTATGTGAATGAGGTAAAACATCTGTCACTGCAATTTTCTCCTTTTCTTTGAAAAGATTGCTGACTGACTGACAGCTTTGCGAGCGTCTCCCAAGCCCATTGGGGGAATCAGCTGTTGACTGTGGAAAGCTTTCTTCAATGCCTAAAGTCTCTTTCACAATTGGTGGCAAAGTGTTTGATCTCTCCCCGAATGAGGTATGCTTTATAATGGTCTTTGACAGTAATAAACTTTGCTATCCCTCTTGTAATTCAACATTGTCAAAGAGAGAAAAAAATTAAGCGGCTCATCATAGAGTCTTTTTGTGGCATTTCAACTAATTGTCATATTACAAAACCGATTCTAGTGTTTAAGGTTTTTAGTTTCTACAGAGAAGTAGATGTTTGTTGTCATCAAGAAGTACTTCTATATTTTGAGGTTGTGACTATTTCGATTTTACATCAATTTAGATGTCTCATTTTCCAACTAAGTAATCTAAGAAAACCTGCATAAGATCTTTGTGCCGTGAAAAAGTTACTCTTTGCTATTTTTATGGAAGTGTAAAAAAATTATCTCTGAATGATTCAGCGTAGAACAAATCTTACAAAGAAGAAAATTCATCAAGTGTACACCAAATCAATTTGATCATTCACATTTTTTCTAAATTTGTTTGTTTTGTGGTTTAGTAAACATAAAGAGGTCGAGCTTTGAATAATTCAGGATAGACCACATCTTACAAAGGAATTTTTTTTTTTTTACACCAAATCACTTGACCATACGCAAAACTGTTCTTTACCAGACCATCACTCTAGTCTTTTCCTGCCCTTTCAACAAATTTTATTCAAGATTGAGAGTAAAGTTGTAATCTGATATGTGGTTCTGTTTTACTTGTTTCAGTTGTCTGTTTAGCTTGCTGACCTAGACTGATCTATGTTCTAATTTTGTATTCTTTTCCCGTGACAGTACATACTCAAGGTGGGCGAGGGTGCTAAGGCACAGTGTATTAGTGGTTTCACTGGCTTGGACATTCCTCCTCCCCGCGGACCTCTCTGGTAAAGTTATCTTTATATGTTCTCTCTATTTTAGTGTATAATTATGTTTTTTGAGATAACTATCAGCAATGCAGTTAATCCAACAATAAGCTTAATCCGAATTATAGAGCTACGGCACAATTAAACCCGAGCCAGCAATTCTTTTGTTCACTGAGTTCTCTATGTTATTCCTTTTGTTACAGGATCTTGGGTGATATTTTCATGGGTCGATATCACACCGTCTTCGATTATGGCAAACTCAGAGTTGGATTTGCTGAAGCAGCTTAATAAAACCAATGACCCTACATTCACTCCGTTCTACAGCTGCTCCCAGCTATAGCAAATGGGATTGAGATGTATGAACACTCTAAGGTGTTGGAAAAACTATACTTGTAAATATTTTTTTTGTATCTTCGACTATAAGATGTAGCACTGCTACTATGTCCTTTGTGCTTTTAGCTGTTTGTGTTATTTTACTCGAAATTTCTAATCATGTGAATGTCTTAAGCTCGTGTCATATGATTCATGATTCTATTGTCAATGCAGCAGGATTCATGATGTTGATACTAGTGTTTGCCATTAAGAAATTCCTTCCTAAAGAAGAATAAGAGAAGTTATATAGGAACCCTTATTCTTTGTCCTACATCTGCATAATATGCGCTACTGTTCGGGTTGCTGTATAAACGGTGTATAAACGCCTCAATTCAAGCTAGTTGGAACTGGATATCCATACGGACAAAAAACATTTTACGAAACCTTAGATTCAAATTAAACATACTAATGACTAAAACTTAGTTACAGTTCACTTTAATTGATTTCATTTATATAGGTCTTCTCTTCCTTTGTACCTGTTTTATGCTATGTCTGAATGGATTAAGAGATTGTAGGTATTTTAAGATAATTTTCTTTATCTTTCTTGTCTCCTTTTACCACCTTCTCCTATCTTAGTTTTGACTTTTGATATAATCTGTAAGCATAAAAAATGTATACCATTTCCAACATATAGAGAAAATGTTCTTTTGTATTTTAGTTCATGGCAATATAGCTCATAATTGTTTAGCGTTTGGTTTTTTTGACTGTGAATTCCTTCATTTTCAACCTCAAATTTCATGTATTGTATCTTTCTCTTACTATGTCCCTCCTTTTTCCCCTTTTCCAGTAGCTTCAGCCCACATGCAAAAAAATTTCATTGTTGGTTTTCTTTTCTCTGAAGCCTAAGGGGTCGTTTGGTTGCCGGTTAGAGTTATGCAGGTATTAGTTATACATGTATTAGTTATGCAGGGATTAGTTATGCAGGGATAAGTAATGCAGGGATTAGTTATGCAAGTATTAGTTATGCAGAGATTATTTTTTTGAATGTTTGGTTTGTTGTATTAGAAATTGATATACATTATATAAATTTTAAAGTAAAATGCTTGTTTACAACTATACCCCTGACCTTCTTTTGCATTGTTTTTTCTCTCTTTCCATTTATGTAGGAAACAACTAAGTTAGGAACTTTGGGTGTTACTTTCACTTCTTCGTCATACTACTGAACTATGTGAAGTTTAGACATATTTGATTTTCACTTCTTAGTTTTGGTATTTCCATTTTCTAGTAGCTTCTCCAGTTTACTTTTGCTAGTTTGTTCTTTAAAAATGAGAGAAGACAAGGTATATAGTTGGCAAGTGAAAGCAAGTGAAATCTGTTGACGGGTTGGCAGAGAAATAAGGAAGCCTTATGTGTAAAGTGATAGGGGTAAATTTGTCATTTTAATATTTTATCCATGTATTACTAATACATATATTAGTTATTACATCTTCTACCCCGCATAAAATAATACACAGATTGACTCATAACTTATACATGTATTATTTATGCATAATTGAAAAATGTCAACCAAACAGGGTATTAGTTATGCAGAATTTTATACAAAATAACTATTGCCTACCAAACATGGTATAAGTTATGTTACCTCTTATACATGAATAACCTTTCTTCTAACCAGCTACCAAACGACCTCTAAATGCTTCTCGATCTTAGCTGGGTAGTAACACTAATCGGGGTGTTAAGCCTAATTAAGAAGAATAAAATTTTGGGTATAGCTTCAAAATACTTAATAAAGTATGGAGTTGTTCGCTTTATCTTCTCTAGACTATTTCTTTTTAATTTTTCCCCCCGATTTTGTTCTCTTTTCTCCTAATCCTTTTCTATCCTTTCGTATTCTTTTGGGTTCAATTCCTACTCCTTTGTAATTTTTCGGGGTTTTTTTTCATGCTTCTATCTTGGTTTTGTCATTAGTGAAATGTATGCAGTCAGATCCACTTTTTGCCGCTATTTCTGAATGCGGTTGAATCCACTATGTGTACTTTCTGGATGTTGCTACAATCATTTTTCGCCGTTGTGACATAGGATAAGTTCAAATGGTTACCAATGAAACTCTACATTACTTTTAACTTCTAAGATGCCACTTGTAAGATTAATGTCTGGTTTTCTAGGATTTTTTGTTCTTCAGAATCTGCCTTATTGATCTTTATTAGTCTGTATGTGCTCTGTGTTCTCTGGATTGATTACGAGTAATCTTACTAAAGATCGTGAGTATCAAAATCAAACTATAATGTCCCTTGAAAGCAGGTATTGAAAATGAAGGTTGCAACTTGATTGATATGCGATTATCTTGTGGGCCCTATTTTCTCTTGGCTATATGTGTCAACTCTATAGGTTGTTTTGAGTACTGGCTCCCTTTTCTATGTTTCGAGACCTTCCGTAACTTAGCTTGATGATATATAACTTGCATGCGTGGGTTGTGCTATTTTTCGGAAAGCTTATGTGAATATTAAAAAAAATTAGATTTTTGGCTTTAAAAACCACTTGAGCTGACCACGACCAGCCTTTTTGGTAAACGACCTCGGATTGGTATTTTGACTTTTCTGGTAGGTTTGTATGATATTTTTCGATACGTAAGCATGTTTGATTGGGGTCGTGGGTAACCCGAGGGCGTTTAGGTGAACATTGAAAAATTAAGTTCAAAAATTAAAAATATTGAGTTTTGATGATCGATTATTGATATTTGATGTTATTTTGAAAATTTGAGTTAGCGAGCGAATTTTTATGATGTTATTAAACTTGTGTGGATGTTCGAATTAGATCCCACGGGGCTCGGGTGAGTTTTAGTTGGTTTGCGCATGGTTTTGGAATAGCCGAGTAGTAGTTGGTGTGTGCTGCCGATCACACATTTGCGAGGTACTGCTCGCTAATGCGATCTTTGCTTTTGCGAGTAAGTGTTTGCATTTGCAGAATTGGAATGAGGACTGAAGACCTCATTTTTGAGAAGGAAGAATCACATTTGCAGACTCGGGGCGGTCGCATTTATGATTTTGGAGTCGCATTTGCGACAACTGATCTAGGGCAAGAAGCTTCACATATGCAAAGCTTTGGTCGCATTTGCGATGAAGGCGTCCTTCGCAAATGCGAAGAAATAGTCGTATTTCTGACATCTGGGGCATTGTGGAACCAATTGCTTTTGCGATCAATGGTTCACATTTGCGGACATCCCAATTGAGAACAAGAGTTCGCATTTGCGGACATCTGCATTGCGAACAAACTATGGGTATTTCAGGACTTAGCTCATTTTACACTGTCGCGCCCCCCTTTTTTTCTCGCGGAATCGGGTTCATGACATTTTGGTATGGGACAACTCGTTCCCTTTGGGAAAGGGGTTTGCATTTTTGAAGAGTCGCCACCTAACGATTTAAGATGCATTAGGGCACCTATTGGGTTCATTTATAACTACGTTTGATAACCAGAGACAGGGTAAGGGCTTGAAATTATCCTAAAGGGAAGGTGTTAGGCACCCCTCAGGATCCACTAGTGTGGTTCCCGACCAGACAGTTTTTGTGTCAATTTGTACAACTAGCAGATAAACAAGTATGACTCAAATAGTAGGGGATTTAAGTTTAAATACACAGATGCTTGAAAAAAATAGTCAATAAAAAGAAGTACAATCTAAGCGTATTTGTGAATGTAAAGGAGTGTCCTCGGTTGGTTAGCCTATAGGATCACATCAGTACAATGCCCGGTAATCACTCCTTAGAAAGGGGCTACGCATGGCATTAGCGCACCGATCATCATATCCATATCTATCCTTTCCCGCCCCGTGAAGGTAATTAAAGCGAAGGTTGGTCTCGCCATGCTATTACCTGTCCCTTCCTATTAGTCCCGGAGAAATTTAGGACTCATATCCTATAAAAGGGGTGGGGGTTCTGGGCAGACCCTCAAGTTTAAAGGCAAAATACTAGACGACAAACAAGAACACAAGGACTGCATTTAGGGGGGAAAACACAAAAAACAGATAGAAGGCTCAGATATATCTCCACAAGTAATGCACACAGACAGCACGACTCATACACCGATAAGGTCCACATTCAGATCCTAACAAGGTACTTAAGTGATAACAATAAAACTAGATTTATTACATGAAAAGAAGTCCGAATCAGGCTCGCCTACTGGTTTTAACACGTTGACAGTTAAACAGTAATCACAAAGACGGTTCTGGTTTTAGTTAAAGTTGATTGCCTAAGGCTTGCCTAGGCACGAAACACATATGACTACATTTTATATTGTGAAACAAGGCAGGTTTCTTAAAGCGGACTCTTGAGTCCTTATAGGCATGCTATCTAATGACAAATCAACGCAGTTTTTGAAAGAACTTGTTTTAGAGAAAATAAATCGTTAATTAAACCAGTTTCGAAACGAACTAAAACGTGGACTGGATTGATTTATTTAACTAAACTAATTGAGATCTATAGGCAGAATTTCTAAAGTTATCCGCTATAGGCATGACATCTAGTTGTTTAACACTGATTTCAGAAGCTTGGCAGGCATGATGACCAATGAAAGAAAACATGTAACACTTGTTATAACAAAAGCTGGATTAAATTATATCCTATAGGCATGACATCTATTTGTGAAATTGATTTTGAGACCTATTAAACATGATTTCTAACATGGTAAGGCAAGTACAGTAAAACCCTATAGGCATGGTTTCTAACATGGTAAGGCAAACATAGTAAAAAATGTAAAGTCTTATAGGCATGGTTTCTACCCGCCTTACCCCACAAACATGTAAATGCCCGCCCTTTTTACTAATTACCCCAATATTCGTTTACAAATTATTACAGACCATGTGAATGAATTACATAAGAAAAGTAAAAAATTACACTATAGAGAGCCTGAAACAGGCCCAGACTATCAGCACCTGATTAGGACTTCCTCCCTAAGTTATGTAATAAACCACCTCAAGTGCTAAGATTGTTCCACAGTCTTTCTCATATCTGGGTGTGTCAGAGTTCTCTAAGGACCTCTAGGGATCCCGGGCAGTGCTCACACCCAGATTGCATAACCAAGACAGAGCAAGTGCAGTGTGGAAAGGCCAGCTTTTATGTGTCCAAGTTCAGAGGGAACTCAAGGGTCCCAAGGCAAGGCTCACACAAAAGGGGGCAGAACCTAGTGGCCTAAGAGTATGTGTGAGAGTGCTTGACATAGATTTAAAAGAGTTGAGTTGGAAACAGTTTTGAAAGTGATTAGTT